GAAGTCAGCGCTGTGTAAGTGTCCCTTTCTTTTGGTGTGACTGTGAACGTTGTCCTAGTGTTTGTTACGGGTACGCTGTGTCCTCGTGCGTCATGAACTACCAACTCGCCCGAACTTCTGTTTTAACGAGCGCTAGAAGTTTTCAAGCTCGCCACGGCGTAGCTCCGTACCTGCCGCTAGTCGCAGCTTTGAATGCATTGAAGTTGATTGAAAACCGATTTCTCAGCCCGTGAAGCATCACTTCCAGCTGAGTGAATATCCGCTCTACAGAGATTAATTTAAGACGGCAAATGCAGCTTTGCACGAACAGCACAAGTAGAAAAACCACAAGAAATACAGGCTACGACGTGCCGTGTGGGGAAACAAACTCATGGCTTCGAACCGCATTGGAGCGGCTTGATTTATTGACTTTCAAATTATTACGGCATGATCGTGCGTTTACTTTTTAATAAGAGATTCATCCCCTGAGCCATTTCAAATACTCTCAGGGGTATGGCATTGCTGGGAAAAAATCAACATGCTGGGAATATATTTTATTGCTTAGGGAATCACCGAAAAGTTCCGTACGTTCAAAACGACCAGTATAAAAGACGGAAACGCAGAGCACGGGTATAGTGTTCGCGTTAGTGTGGTGCTCCGTTGTATTAATATTTGTGTGTGCCGTGTATGTGCTCAATGTATGTTCACCTGATGCTTGTAATAAGCGGATGTGTGTATTCGCGACTCCAGCGACCTATAGGGGGCGCCACCAAACAAACATGGCGGCTGAGTCCAGGTCGCGGCGGCTCGGCCGGGCCGCCTGAACAGGTGGCGCGTTCAATTTAACTGATTTTCTTTTGTTTAATGCCCAATTTTGTAGGTATTTGAACTGAGGCGGTTAAGTGTAGCCGGTGCAGATAAACTTGCAAACCATAGTTTTGTTTTGCCGGTGTTTTTTTGTTCTTTTCGTGTCAAACTTTCGTTTCGGAGATTTCGTTCAAAACCGAAACTATGGGCTCCGGAGAGACGGTAATATCCTAATCAGTTTTGATCATCTAAGGAAAGCGGAGATGACTATAGAATTGTTCCACAGAGAGTAACTTTTCAGCTAACTCGCATGCCTCGACCATGCGACTTATCTGTCCGCGAAATCGAGCTTTTGTGGGTATCCGCGTTTACAAAACAGCTCCAGTCGTCTGCTCGGCCAACAACACAGGCTGCAGGAAAATTACGAAAATTAAGCAACCGCTTCTTGAGCCAAGGACCGTGTTAACCCGCCGGCGCCCCACTAAGCAGCTGATACTCGTATTTCGATTCAGGTTTCAGTAGCAATCGAGACGTCATTTTGACGAGCGGGTTATGTATTATGTTACGTACTATGGGGGTCCCACTAAAGCGATATTAGTATATCCTTCGGGTTGAAATATGAGCTTAGTTGACTAGCTATTAGGTGAGCAGCTGAATAAAAGCATATTTGACAGACGGAGACATATTACTTAAACTTAGCCAAATGGTTCTATAGCCGGCAGCACGACACAAACTGAAGAGAGCCTTCATTGAAGATCTGCGCAGAACCTCTCCGCATTGAACTTTGCTTCGAATCCTGAACGGAGAAAATTAGTACTTTTTTTGTGGCCGGTCAACCTGACCAATGTAGACGTATATTGCTGCTGGCTTCGACGTCCTTGTAATATAAATATCGGAGGCGCGATAGGTCAAAATGCCGTGACAGCATCTAACGTTGCGAGACTTGTCTCCCACCTTTGAAAACAGATAATTTCCCTCATTCATCATTTGCAGCGAGCAAGTTTTCCTGAATCAAGTAATTGCGAAATCAGCCTAACTCCTTCAGTGTGGTCCAGAGGCTTTTTCGGCGAAAAGCAGCCAAGATGAATAGCCAACGCACCGACCGGCGTGGGTTGCTCAAACTTGAAGCTAACCGAACACAACCAAACTCAAGAAAAGCAGCTATCGAACCTTCCCATTCACTTGACTGCAACATTGATGTTCCCTCCAGTATCAGTTACCAAGCAGTCGTCACTTTGAATGTGATTCAAGACAGACAAGAAATCAAAAAGTTTTTCCGTGATTCCTCCCCATCCAAGAAATCGAAATCACGCGACCGTGTGCTGTGGAGTAAACGGGCTTTCAAACACGTAATAGAAGAAAACAATCTACTGAGGCTTCACTACACTAATGATCACTCAAACAAACTTAAGAAATATTCGGACCTTCGTCAAATTACATTGTTCGCCACCGCGCCGACAACACGTCTCCGCGAAAGCCACCAGAGACGCGGAGGGGCGCGGAGCGACCTGGACCGGCTGGTTCCCGGTTTTCCCGCTTGGCGGCGTCCGTTTTGCTGGAGTCGCGAATAGTAGAGGATCCCCAACCGCCGGAGAGCGGCTCTGAAGCGCAGTAGTGGCCTGGGAAGAGCAGATTATTTTTTGTAGAACATGAATGGGGCGGTACCTAGCGCCACCTAGCCTAGCTACTTGCCATTACTCTGCTTGACCCCGCGACCCCGCCATCTGGTGGCTAGCGATTCAACCTTTCACTCTACGCGATAAGCAGCGGCTTCGAGTTTGTTCTTTCGAGAGCGGCTTTTGGTTCGCGGATTGAGTTTGCCCTTCTCCGTGATGTGCGGTTGACGAAGGAATTGTGACTCGAGGAACACCTAAGGTAAGACGCAAAGTGCGCGAAGTAACTGGGTATCGGTTGTCTCCGTTTAACATCGCAGTGCTGTCGATGAGAAGACTGAGTAACTGCTTTCGAAACGCCTGTGGCGGGAATCTGGCTTCGGAAATAAACACAGTTCGCGGAAAGCTCGTGTTATGCGTTTATTTGCTGCTCCTCTCGTCCCGTACAAGAGACGTAGCGTCCTCGTCAAGCCTTATTGGGCTCGATTTGCTCGATTCGGGGCCGCCATATTGAGATGCAAGCGACGGAGGAACTTTGCTCCCCTGCTTCAGGGACGAAAGTTTCTCCCTTTCTAAAGGAACATAGGTTACAAGACCGTTCCTCCCCTAACCGCTCATTCACACTGGAAGTGGATCCGCGTTCGCAAAGCGGTTGCGAACGCGGTTGTATAAAGATTCAGTACAATTGCACGCGCAGCCGATGTCATCGGGTGCGCGTGCAATTGCACTGGATCTTTATACAACCGCGTTCGCAACCGCTTTGCGAACGCGGATCCGCTTCCAGTGTGAATGAGCGGTTACGGGAGGACTATCCATACCCTTTTTTCTAAGAGTGCAGGGTTCCGCCAGGAAGCCTCAGGCAGGGCCAGGCCAGGACCGGATCCGCAGGACGATTCCCGGCAGGAACATTACGAGACGGTCTCTCGACAAACTCTGATTTATTACATATGTACATAATCTGCATCGTCCGAGAGCCCTTGCGACCTCTCGTCCGTTCTTTTTATCGGGTTCGTTCGGTGCTCCAAGAGTTTGCAGCCAATGGTGGCCGAGCTGCCAGCAAAAACGTCACGTCCAGGCCCCGCCCTCACTCATCCCCTCGAGCACGCACGCGCACACACGCACACACTGCAGTGGCGGACGGGCTTCATCCTGCGGTGCCGAGGAACTCTCGCCCTCGATAAGCCGTGCATGGAGTCGGCGACAAAGGCCCGCGAGACGCCGCCCTCGATGCCGATGACCCCTCTCACAGGCACGCACCGCGGCTCAGGTTGCAACCCGAACCGACCGCACTCGCCCAGAGGTCTCGCCGCCGGCGCCGTAACCGGACTCCCCGCCCGGCAATGCTCCGGTTCTCGGGACACGAACACGTTGTCGGATGACTCGACCGATCCCCCGGCGGCACGTACACGATTTAGGATGACGCCGCCTGTCAACAACAGCTCAAGGCTTGTCTAAACAGCGTTCCCCGGTGCCGGTCGGATTAGCAAGGGGGAATTCCCGGTCCGAGGGCCTTCCACAACAGCTCCGGGGAACAAAGTCTAAAGGGCAGGAAGGTGTTTCCCGTCGCAGACGTAACAGCCGACAGCGGCGGAGGGGATGAAGATGGAGACGTTGAGTTTCGGACATTTCCGTAGCGTCACAGATTTCTGCACCAGCCACAGCCGCACGACGGCAGGGCCCGGCCTGGGGTACTAACGTCAAGAAGCGTCGGAACGTCGGTGTCTGGGGATCGCGGCGGAGGATCGTCGGTCGACTTTTTCTAATTTGGCTTCGTCTGATTAGGCTTCGTCGTCTGGTCGAGGTCTGGGCGACGGAGCCATGGGCTGGACTTGGGTCCGTGGCTGCGGATGGCTGCGACAACGAGGCGATGGCTGGTTGATAACGGCGACAATGCCGCACTGCAGGGTATGATGATGGCTCCGCACCTCCACCATACTCTTAAGGCCTGTTCACACATGCAGCGGAGCGCTATAAGCACAGAGCTGACATTGTGCCATGCGCGTGCTGACGGGAGCGTACACCACATTTGTATCGCACCGTCAAAACGGTTGCTCATGGCAGACGATAAGTAGCTGACGACAACTGAACAGCGTTACATTAGCGCTTGACTGCATGTTGTAACCGGCCTTTACCGCTCATTCACACTGGAAGCGGATCCGTGTTCGCAGAGCGGTTGCGAACGCGGTTGTATAAAGATCCAGTGCAATTGCACGCGCACTCGATGACATCATGTGCGCGTGCAATTCACCCTGCACTCTAAGAGTGCAGGGTGATGCTCTCGGCAGTGGAGAGTACTAAAGTGACTTTAATGCAGGCCGAGTCGGCACATGCGGACTGGCGCGAGGATGTCGTGCGAGCCACTGCTCCGTCGTCGTCTTAGAAAATACGAGACAGTTATAGAAAAACCAAACAATCTCTTTTTATTGTATACTTTACGCACCGCGTACCAGTATATAATACATATTCTTAGAGTACATATTCATACAAACAGTAACCCGTTCTTAGCTAATATGGTAATGCTTTAATGTCATGCTTTCCCCTTCAAAATTTAGACATTTTCTTTGCGGGAGGGGGGGGGGGGGGGGGGGAGCATTGCACCAGAAAAGGGCGTCCATCATTTTACGCACAGGCTTTTCGCCTGCATATATTCTACCACATCGTTAGATTCCATTATTTTACTGGAAGTTCCGAAATATCACTTTAATATTTTTACATAAAGCGCATTAAGTTTAGAAACATCATAATAAGTTGTAAAATTTATAGCCTTGTATTCGTGCAAATCTTGAACTCTGTAGTTTAAGTATTTTATGTAAAAAAACACGGTTCGCGTTCTATTTTTTTTGTGTAAGTTGTGAAAATGCCGTTTGCTAATACTGCGATCCATTAAAGTTCGTCAAACCATGGCTTAAAAATGCAGAACACAAACGCCAATATAACGAAGATGACACCCAAACTACGTCAGAAAGACGCGGTTAATGTTCGAGCACTGCAGTAGTATTCGGTAGTTCCAAATGAAATCCAAATGGTTCGAGAACGTCCCTACGTTTGAGGTATAAGTTGTTCTACTTTATCTTATCTCTGGCGCATCATCTCATTTTGAGTGTGTCTGCACTGGACGGAGACACCGGCTGCTGCGGCCGCGTCAACTCCACGAAGTTGTCCGTGGGGGCCTGTAGCGACTTGAGCGTCACGTTCAGAATAGAGATCTGCTGGTCCATGACGACGAAGTCCTGCTTCGAAGTGTGGAAGCCAGGGGCCGACACCTGCGGTTGTCCAAAGAAGCAATTAGTACCAACACCGTCGTAGGGACCGGTGCTGGTTTTTGCTATTGCTGTGCATCAAGCAGTAAACATTGAAAGTGTTCCTTGATAGTGACAAATTAAGAACACAGTAGATGCTCTGCTTCAAGCGCAAGCCTTCTGCTTTGCATGGCACATGGTCTCACGCGCAGCCAAAGCCCAGCTGCAGGCAGCCAGGGCGTGGTGGAGGCGGAGCATCTGCTGGGTCCTTAATGTCACCGACTGTAGAAATCATGCATTAATAAGAGGTACGACGTTGCTGCGGGATTCGAATTTTTGTAAGTATGGGCTTCACGACCTTATAATCGGTTTGAATTATTAGTAGGGACGACATACTGACGAGGTGGTTTGAGCTCGAACTCTGTTGCACTTCAATATGGCAAGTGGCAACAGGTACCACCCCGGAGCGCCAATGAGAGGGTCGAATCGAAACACGTGGCAAAGGGTCGCTATAGAGTCTACCCCTGCAGAGAGCTGTCACGGGCTTCGCTCCGTAGTTTTGTTTGGCTGGGGAGAGCCATTGCGTTCGTTCTGCACTGCAACAATGGTGCCTGGAACGCGTCTCCGACTGGTGTGTTTACCGGGTTCAAAAAAGTGGTCCCTCGATTTCCGCCTGATGACGTCATAGAAGTGTCATGCTGTCGCCTGTTGCGACCCTGGCGGCGCCCCAACAGTTGTGGTATAAGTGGCAGACGCCTGTACTGCTGCAGGTCGCTTTTCACTGTGACAGTTCACAGAAGCTGGTGCAGCCGGAAGTTGGGACGCCTAAAGGGACGCCGTGACGAAAGCGACACTCGCGTTCGCTCCTGCTTTTCGCCAGCATTTCTACGGCCAACTGCCAGGATCGCGACAGGCAACAGCATGACACTCGCGTCATTTGTTGCCACATTGGGACCACTTTTGATGTATGGGCGGGATAGGACGCTAAACACACCAGTCGAAGACGCGATCAAGGCACCATACTGCAACTGAGAATAGGGGTGTAAACTGTCGCCCGGTTCTGAGGGCCGATATCTATCATCCGTCTTTTATACATTTTTCTCCGAAACACGGAAGACTGTACGGTGTATGCATTTTGTACAGAAAACAAACAATCTATAAACACAAATTATTTTGCGATTCGGTTTAATACAGAATATGTTATGTGGCTGGCACTTAAACATATCCAGTTAGGTGCCAGCAGTGGAAGTTGACAGGTGCACTGGCAGCCGATCGCTGACACTTTGCTGGTCTTCTGCACAGCGCCAGCTAAATTTCTTCCTCGAGTGCCTCCGTGATACTCCCGGCGGGGCTTAAACATCACGTGTTCACAGACATACAAGGGAGCTCTACTCCGTCAAAGGAGCGCACTCCAATTTTCACAAACCGCAAAAAAGAGTAACGGAGAAGCAAAGAAAGCAAAGCCTACACTACTTTAGAAATGCTCCCTCTGCCGAAACGGGTTGAGATTGCTCGAGTGTGTTGTTCCCTTTTGCCATATTCAGGCGCCAGGGGTCTGCTCGGTGCTGCAGAGAGTCTATGCGGCGAGCAAGTCGTCTGCTTCCTGCGCAGGAGTTGCGGTGACGTCATAACGACGCCGAAATCCGGTTAGCTTTGATTGAAAGAATAGTGGGTAGACCTCAATGCTAGATGCCTTCAGGTCTACCCAGTATTTCTTTTTCCCATCATCCAATGAGAGCTTGGCGTTCTGACATGATCGTAACCCTTGTTAAATAAGCCGACGCAACTGCGCTCCGCATAGACTGAACAGGGTGTTCATCTCTAACCAATGGCTAGCGTTTGCAATTTAATGGCGGACGCCTCCTGCGAAAATTGGTCGCAAGTGCGTACGCGCTGCGTAGTCTCGTGGCGGGTACGAAAGCAGGCGGAAAGGCAGAAACGCTTGCAGTCGAGCGACGCTTTCTTCCCCTCCTTGCAGCTCATATCGCAAACGCGGCCCGTACTTCACGTGACCCTGGTTGGGCAGTTGTAAACTCCCTGTAACCTTGGGCCCTCTACGGCGTTGCCGCGTTCCAGTTGTTCTGTTTTCCGCACTGTGTCTACTGTGTCTACTGTGTCTCACACGGCTGGATGCTCCGAGAAGGTCGAATTCCCACCGCCACCGCACAAGTTGGCACCCAGAAGTAAAACAACAACTGAGCGCTCACGCGCTTACCGTGCACTACCAGATACACGACACAGGGCTGCGAGGCTGGCCGTGATCACGCAGCCGTCGAGGTCTCTTTCCGGGTTCTTAACCTGGCGGATGACACTCTACGAAAAAGCTGCAAACTCGTGGCGGCATCGGATTCATCTCGTGCCTCGTGCGCGGTGCGCACACGAATCCTCGACCGTCAACTTCTGTCTGCCCTTCGCATCATGTCCACGCTTATACACAACATTCTGCGTAACCTTTGCCACGCCAGTACGACCAAGAGGCGTCTTTTTTCTATGTTTGTTTCGTCAGCTTTCTAGCGTTTTTTTTTTTATTATTGGAATCCTCTGCTGTTTCTCTGTGGTCGGTGTTCCTCCATAAATTAAACCGGCTCCATTAAATAGTGAAACTTTACCTTTTTAAAATAAAATTAAGGACACTCCGCCAGTGTATGTAACTGGAACCCCGATAAATCAGTCCTTTGTGTTGTTCTCGTGCACTCCGCGTCATCTTCAACAGGCAACAAATGAGGCCGTGTATAGTTTCTGGGAGTAGCTGTAGCTGGCGCCGGCCACCGTTTTGGTGCAAAGGCCTAGTGGCAGTCCGTGAACGGGGGAGGTAAATAGGCCGAAGCGCCTACTTCGCGGGGAACGAAATGAGCCCCACCCTGCCTGGATTACCACAGTTTTCCTAATTACACAAAAGAGAGCAACCGGACTGCGTGTTAATATGGCTGCGGCAATTTACACCAAACATATAAATTCCTGAAGTTTGTCTTGAAACACCCGAAATATGTGAAGTGTGTACATTCTTTTTCTGGCGACTTAAATGGCTGCACCTTTTTCTTTATGAATACATTCTAAACACATTTTTTCGATTGTTCGCGTTTGTTCACGCTCGTTGATTTGTATGACAAATCGAGAAGCATGAAACAGAAATCAAGAAGCTGGTTGATTCTATTTGGCTCGTCGACGACGGCCGCAATGATTTTGTTACCCGGGCTGGGGGCGCAGGTATTCACAAAATCGCCAGCGCGATTCCGCGTTGTGCTAGTCATGCACGTTGCATTTGCGAGTGAGATTCGCACCCAGGTCATGGAGTCTACGTAGATCATCTCAGCTTTTCCGCATCGCTCATCACAACGAGATTCGGAGCTCTGCAGACCTACCATATCTGATGCGGAAGGAGCATTGAAGGGGGAAAGAAATGCTCGAAAACTGAACTACTTTCTAGGCCAAGCCGACGTCAAATAATTCCTGGGTAAAACGTTACGCTTAAAAGCCACAAAAATGCAAACGGTCAGCGTATTTTCGCGAAACATTTCGCTAAGACTTTACCGACCCCCTAGATGCCGCGCCGTAAACCATTTTATTTTCCACAAAAAACACAAAAAACAACAACAGGTGATTGCCAGCATGCAGCTGCATTCATAGCCTGAACGCTCTGCTTTAAAATATATTAAGGTCTAATTTATTCTGTTGAGTCGCCAAAGCGCGTCGCATGGCCAATCCCGCACTCCCGTAAGCCGCCGCTTCCGCATGGGAGCTTAACATTAGTTCGTAAATTGACCAACGGAGGTGCTGATGGCGCGAGAGATCGTAACGCTATAGCAGCACGCACGGAGCGTATACCGAAATCACCAGAAAGTTTAGCTACGCCGCCGCTTCCGCGATGCATTGTGGGACCTTCCGTCTTTGCGGCGCGGGGCTGGTGCGGTCGCGGGCGGACATGTAGTGAAGATTTGGCTGACGGATAACCTCGCAAAGACCGTGCTAGTGGTGTTGTTGCAATTGTTTTTATTCTGCTCCACCGTTATGGCAGATTTTACGTGTTGCGTCCCTGGCTGCAGCAAAAACAGCACAAAACACAAGGGTGTCGGGTTTCATAACTTTCCGAAGGACCGGCAGTTGAGAGAAGAATGGATCGCTAATGTTCGCAGAGCAAGCAGTAAGGGACGGTAAATGAGTCTTCGCTTGTTAGAAAGAGAGCTACGTAATCAACGTTCTGTGTGCGAAATTGAACTCATGGATTCTAATTGCCCTGTTGTTGAGAATGCGAGGAAACTGACAGAACCGTTGGAGTGTCCCCTGGGTTGGTGGTGCCGCAAGATCGTGCCCACCTCCGATCGTGTTTGCGTCCTGATAAGAATTTCGTGTTCGGCACACACCTGTTCGTAGCGGCAGCTTCCTGCAACATTGTTTTCTACGTTTACAGGTTTTCGAAGTTCTTGACCACGACTGATCACGCCAATCAAAATTATGAAGCTTTTTTTTCATTTGCTCGCTCGCCAAGTGCATGCCGGTAAGTCGTATAGACGCCTCAAATGTAGCCCCGAGGACAAGGCTGGCCAAGATAGAAGCAACGAACAGAAACACGGTATAAACTAATATCGGTGAAGCACATTTCCAATGTGTAAGGTAATGCCAGGTGCACATATATACCCCGAAAGGTCTTGCCAGTGTAGAAAGCCACAGCAGTGCGCCAAACACAAGCTGTGCAATGCGCAGTGCCACAGAAAGCAGAAATAGCATGATCTAAATGTCCACAAGGGCTAATGTTGCTCAGCATGTTTGTCACCAAACCATCTTGGTAGTATTTATGTTGCAAGAGCTTACACTAAACGCTAGCTTTATCTTTAAGAAACAATCTGGTTTGGGGGGGCTTCTAGTGTCATCGACAAATGTCGGGCACGAAAGATTGCGCAACATTGATTGTTCCTTTTCGAGTCGTGTTTGTGAACGGAACCACATGCTCATGCAAATGAACCCCCCCTTCCCCTAACATGCGTGCCCCTGAACAACATTAAGGCTAAAAAAATGGCCTAATCGATCCTTGATTCGTTTTTTAAACGAATCAAGGATCAATGAACCCAATGTACCAATGTATCAATGATCAATGTATTCAATGAACCCGTGGTGATATTGTACAATATTCACTCCTAAGCACTGCAAATGAACTTTGAAAAAAAAAACGCGAGACACCTTTCGAATGTGTCACGTGTTAAAAAAACTAAGAACCCGCCAAAAAGAAAGCTGGACAGCATACTTATACTTGCTTAAAGTAAAATAAAAATATAAATAAAAAAAATCTTGGTACATTTTTGTCTGTTTTGGGGATGTAGCGCGTAACCGAGGGAATTATTAGGTGACGTCGGAAGCTAGGCTTTCGTCCTGTGTGTAGGCACAACCTCCGCACTCCCACCGCGTCCGTCGCGTCCTTGGATCAAAGTAATGGCGGCACCCAAGGTGACTTGCTGATCGAGCATGCGCCAAAGGGGGGTGAGATTTGTATATTCAACAAAATGGGAGCACACAATTGGCGAGAAATCATACAGTAAAAAACCGGATACTTTTTTTTGTTTTTTTTGTTAGCCTCCTCGGGGCATCGCATCTTAAATAAGCCGTTGCAAAAACGTCAGCATGAATATATCAATAACCCGGCGCTACTCGAAGCTGACTGTTGAAGAATTCCATTGTAGAAGCTAACCTCCTCCCTCCCTTCCGAAGCCGCCGGTGGCAGGTGGATGGGCAGACGGATACGGCTTATTATTCGAGCTGCGGCTTGCGCCACCCGTTGTTTGAAGTGTCATCTTGAAGCTGTGCCCCAAAACTGTACTCGGATCGGCCGTGGTGAAGCGCCATTTAGACGCAGTACTTCAAATTATGTGTATTCATGGAGTTCACATAACAGCCGCCTCTAGAACTATGGCGCTTCGAACGACGGGAGGCGAACCATTGGGGAAGCCCCCCCCCCAAAGGGGGGGGGGGGGGTGGTTATTGCGCATAGAAGCAGCGTCTGAGGACAGCTTCGCAAATAAGGTTATCTCCTAACGCCGCTCGAAGCTGAACGAACCTCGAGGGTGTAGCTACCGGGCCTGAGGATCCTCCAATACTCTCCCTTGGACGTCGTCTTGAAGCCGATCCTGCGGTTGGAAATCTTGAGGGACGCCTGGACCACGGGGTTGTCCTCCTCGTCCGTCACAATGCCACGGACGCCTACAAAATTGCGCGCAGTTGTTCAAGGCACGAGGTTTATGCGCAACGTGTAGTACGTCCCATCATAGGTTACAACGTGGGCTCAGGGAACAAAATTATAAGGGCGAAAAGCCGTACGGCGGTTCCACTGTGAGAACATTCTAATAGAATCCTACGTCATGAGCTAGACGCCATCCTGGCACACTAATACGATTCACTTTGAGGAACGTTAATTCTCTGACCAAAAGCAAAAGTTGAATCTTTGTTTAACGTGCGCGCCTTGCTTTCCTGCTTGTCGTTGCTGTTCTTGAAGACTTTATGCATTCACCGTTCACGCTCCAAAAATACCCTAGTAATTTTGCAATAAATGGGGAGTATATAAAGGAAGCCATATTTGAGTTCGCTGTTCACTGCGCATGCTCCAAACGAGCTCAGGCCTGTAGGCTGCCAAGACTGGTAATCTTGATGTAGAATGCACGTTGCAAAAGCACTGTGAAAACTGACTGTCAGCTCGCGCTCAGCAGCCACGGACTCATCTATTTCTGCTACAGGCTAGCGGATACCCTCCAGAGGAGTCATGCTGCCCGTCTTTACGGCTCTAATCATTCTGGGTAGGGATCCGTGGACCTAGCAGGATAGAAGCCTGCTTGCTTCGAACATGCCTGTAACTGTCTGCAGAGAGTTTTTGCTCAAGTATGAAAAAAAGCAACACGCCTGAGACAATGTCCGCAGACTGTGTTTTGCATGATATACCAGCAGCGTCACCAATGGAACCTGCATGTCAGGAAATTTCCCTCGTGCAAGAAAAAAATTCGTATTCCCGCGCTAAAATGCGCGATGATATAGCTGGTGTACCTCTGTGGGCTTCACCCAGAAGGGCAAGCAAGGACTGCTTGTTTTCCTCCCAAAAGCCTGGAAGTTCTTGTCTCGGCGGGAACTTGCAGCAGGAGATCTCTAACGTCACCTCCATGCAGCCGCCCCAGACGTAGTTGTAGTCCGACATGCTGCCTAAGAGAACATTACGGTGTGAGGAACCTCTGCCAGCCGTGCATTAAGTCGACAAAGCCCGCATAATGCGTCCACATTCGAACGGGTACCACGCTGCTCCGTTGGTGATGCCATCGGGGAAGGAAGGCCCGTCCGACGGGCAGGGTGCCCCCAGGAACATGTTGGTATGATTGAATGAGTACACTTTCGCCATATGCTTGAACACGTCGTCGTCAGGCGTCAGCGTCTCATAGTCGTCCTCTTCAAATTCTGCGAGAAACAACAAGAAAAACTTGCAGACGTACGAACGCGCATACTATGAACTTCGAAGTTTCCGCCTGCAGTGACATTTAAAAACATCTAATTTTCTGAAAGAACGAAGGGCGGTTGCACCTCAGTAGCCGGGGTTACGGGAAAACCTTTACAGACTCTGTCGCCTCACAAATACCCTCTCGGATGGCGAAGTATACCATTGGCATTCGAGGTAACAAGGCTAGCGGATGTTTGCTCACATTTGCTTGTATGTTTCCGAAGATGTCTGCTGCCAAAACCTTGATTTTTCAACAATTCTTTACGGCTCTTTCCATGCTGCACAATTGATTGCCATACTCGTCAGGGGATGCGGCTACAGACAATTGAAGTTTAAGAAACGCGAGGCGTGGCCTTTCATGCTTCGTCGTTCTTCGTCGTTCTTATCCGCCGAAGAATATTCTTATCTGCGAAGCGATAATGAAATGCTAAGGAGTTATTACGCCCCGCCTTTCTTCATCTCTCAGTGACCATGAAAGCAGTATTATCTGGTCGACTGATATTGTTTGCAGCGTGCCTGAGTGCGTGCATGTGAGATTTGAAGTTAGTTTTGTGAGTTTGGTGAAGTTTTAAGTTAGTTTTGTGAGATTTGAGAGGTTTGAGGTTAGTTTTGTGAACTTTGCGATATCTGAAATTTGTTTCGTGAACTTTGTCAGGTTTTCAATTAGTTTTTTAGGAGTTGCGTTGTTTGAAAATAGATTTCGTGAGACTTGTGAGATTTTAATATAGTTTTGTGAGGTCAGAGCATAGCTTGGGGAGATGTGTGAGGTTTGAAATGAGTGTCGTAAGATTTTTGAGGTTTGTCAGTTTTTTGCGAGATTTCCGAGGGCAATTTGTTTTGTGAGATTTGTGAGGAATAAAACAAAGTTTTCAAGGTTTGTGAGGTTTAAGGTCCGTTTTCTAAAATTTTTGAGGTTCTTCTAGCCTTCAAGGTATGATATATATTTTCCCCGCCTTACCGGTTATGGACGACATGTCGAAGGGATAGGCGACGACCTTGACCCCGCCGTGGATACTTCCCGAAAGCACAAAAGGTATTTGGCTCATCCAGCTACGAACTGCCGCGGTTTCATTCTGCTCGGGTTCGTGCTGAGTAGAGAAGCGGTTCGGGAAGTTGCGATTCAAGTCCACTTCGTTGGCGTTCTCCCTGCGAAAGGAGTGCACGTATATGTTATGCGTATTTATTCAATAAAGTTCTACAGAGCCTACCGAGCATTCTCGTAAGTGGCGAAATGATATTCACTTGCGAGTGTTTGCAGCATAGCACCTGTGTTTGGCTTTTTGACTGTATGACGGTTTTAACAAAAATAAAGTTATAAATCTCCAAGCCTGACGACACAATTCTCAACCTATACACATGCGAAGTGTTTGCTTTAATAAGGCGCCGATCGGTGAAAGATAAGCACACAACTTGGGCAACTGATTTTATTGTTTTTACTGCATAAAATATTAACCTAAGCGGTGTTACGGGTGTTTTAAATACTCAGTGACATCTTATAAACGAATTCGCATATCTTATAATCTAAGTAACGGCCAGCATGACAATGTAACCTAAACTTTGCTCGGTAAGTACGGGCCCGTTGACGACGACTGAATCCCCCGTATAACTTGAGCCCACCCCAAGGCACCACCGATGCGCTGTACGAAAAACAACAAAGCGCCTGGTAAAAAGAAAAATACAGGCAACGCACTCTTACGTTTTTCTCATACCCTACATAAGCATGGAATTTTAAAGGCTGCCGTGCCTTTGAGAGGGTTCTTATTGCCCTCGTTTTGTGACTCGAACACAGGGTAAAGCATATGTTCGCCTTCAAAACTATCGAAGTGCAAGATCTTCATTTTATGGCATATTTAATTGAAATTAGTCCTATGCATTAACAAACATGCAATATTAAAATAACGACTCGGTACGAAAAGGCAGTCTTTAATACTGTGTTTATAACACATTTTTAAACGATTTCAATACAAAACCTTGAATGTTCGGAGTGTTAGACCACGCGACCGAATTCAAATAATCTTAGACCTAAAACCGAACTTACTATAAACTTGTTTCTAATCTAACTATCAATATGTGCATACCCAAAATATTAAAAAAGGAAGCTTTCATAACGGCAGAAGTAAAGTAACTATATCGTGACTTAACCGCTGTAACAATTTTAGATATGAAATTCATTTGAACTACTCGGGCAAAAGAAAAGACTCGAGTAAACATGTATTTTACTTACTCAAATTCTGCTGCCAACAAGAAATGAACAACGTAATTAACGTTTGAGGTCAAAGAAAGTAGTAGCAAGCGCTAGAAGAAAAATTTATTGCAAATGGCTAGGAAATTGTGTTGGATACGTTATTAAAAATTAAAACAGCGCAAGGACACGGACATGACCAAGAAGGTAGACGAACGAGGCGCTGACTTACAACTAAAGTTTATTCGTGCTAACATCAAGTATAAATACTGAACGTCATGACAAACAAACAACGATAAAAAAAGATAAAAAACATGGATACGTGAACCGTTCTTGCATAAGAAATGTTTAGGGATATTCTGAGTTTCCGGATGTCAGGCGCCTACGTGCCCAGGCACTCTTCATCAGATACTTTAATGCATGTCTACACTTGATGGTAGTCCCTAGAACGAAGCAATACTACCGCTAATCGGGCTGATAAACCTGGCGATCTTCCAGAGCCTTCCATACTCTCGAGCTCCTCCTCGCCTACTCTTCTGGTCCCATGACCTTATTGTTAACCAATCAGCGTTGAGAACCTCACTCCTCCTCTCCCACTCGTCAACCAGTCAGTGTCGAGTCTCGCGTACACTTTTGTCTGGGCATCACGAAATGCCGAACACCTATCCATTGAATGTTTCATGTTAATAATAGCATATCGACTCACGGTGATACGTCGTTACATGACAACAAAGAAAAAAATATGTCGTGACGTAGTGGAAAGACACGCGATTAATGATATAAAATACCTGGGTTCGGTTCCCGCCTGGCACAAACGCTTTTTTACTGCGATGTCCTGTTCCCTTTCACTCAAACGGCCACGTTTTTATCCAAGCTTCACTTTTATCTGGGCTTCACGAAATGGCGAACACCTAACCAAAAAACGCTTCAAGTATAAAAGACACACAAAAAAAAAATTAAAGCCGTTTACAACTCCCTGTAACGCCGAATTAGAGCGCAGCTCTTGAGGAGGAGGAGGGAAGGGTACTGAGGTTCACGTGTTTTCGGAGGGAGAATAAAGGAAAATATTTCCTTTATGATACAGAGTACTACACTAGTCACTATTATTTATTTAGAAACAAGCATAGCTACACTCTTCAGCAGTACCGAGGGATGCACGATTGTCCTATGTATTCAACACTTTCATTGACGATCAGTGATTGGAATCAGCTCCCCGATACAGCTGTTTATTTATCAGTCGTTTTCATCGATTTCTACAATGACACTTCACTGTATTATAACGCTTGAATCGTGCCGCATCGGTTGTCTGTTGTATTGATATTATTGTTGTTAAACTCGCACTATATAATGTTTCATGCGCTGCGAAAAAAACTATATATACGACTGTTTTTTTATGTTTTTTGGTACCGATGTATTACATATTTTGAATAACCCACACCTCTTATAGTCCTTACAAGATTAATAGTACGTAACATCAAATAATAATAAAAGCACTGCGTTACGACTCCTCAGGACAAGATAACACACAGTCGCCATCTATCGGCTAGCTCTGGCACACTTTCGATCTGCGTATATTTTACGCAACACATTTTCACCGTGCGCACGAATTAACTCTAAAAATGTGATAACCGACCACTGCTCACGGCCAGTATATCAGAAATAAAAAACAAGCGTAAAAAGAAGCACAAAAAACCAAACAGCAGAGACGAGTAGAAGAACTGAACGGGGCGAGTGCATGGGCAGTGCGCAGATGTGATCTTGCAAACGACTGCAAAATTTTCGGTCCATTGTTACACACAAATCGGAAGTGCTCTAGGCCTACCCAAAAGATGGCGCCAGCGCGTCCTTCCGTCGTTCTCGTCGTAGGCGGTCACTAGTGGTTGCAATGCCGTCGATCCCAGTCAATGGCGAACGAGTGAACCATCCTTTGCATCGCAAGCTACCACGAAGATGCACGTTCATCACCCACCGTCCGCGCATGCTCTCGCAGTCGCCCTCCTGGGAAATCTCGAAGCCGTCCGGGTTCATGCTGGGCATGATGTGGATGCGCGTGTTGTCCAGCAGGTGGCGCACGTACGCGTCCGTGTCGTACCGAGTCAGCAGGTGCTCGATTAAGTAGACCATCAGCTGGCGACCCACGGCCTGTAAAGAAGCGCCCGCACTGCACACCGGCCACTTCATCTATAAGAACACAAACCTTAATCGGATAGGGGCATGCCGAGAGTGGTTCGAATAGAAAAGCGCTTCGTCATTCAGGGCTTTTGCAGTGTGAGGGAAAACTAGGACGTACCGGCTCTTTCTACATTTTTGAATCTTTAGGAATGACGTCGCGCAATTTAATTCAAAACAGTATTCACACGGTTTCGAGTCGATTCGTTAATGTTCTCAATAGGGCGACAGCAGGTTATTGCCCCCCCCCCCCCCCCTCCTCTCCTTTCCCCAGATATTTAGGAAAGTAATCTAAACCACAGCACGGTACGGTCTTCCCATCAAGTCCGCGTGCTAAAACACGGAATTCAGACACATTTTCCCGTCCGGGAAACGGGGCAACACCATACGATACTCATCGCTACTGCTGGCTGCAGCGTCGATGCCTCCCCGGCCCACGGGGGCCGATAACGCGCCGTTATCGGAGCGCATCATCGTCCGTCCGCTCTCGTCGAAAGCCGGAAGCGAACTCTCGCCACCCGGCCGTCTCCTTCAGCACGATAAAGTCTGTCTGCTGTCGTCAGCGTCACAACTGACCTCGTAAGTGTGACGTCACCGCTACAAACAAACCGTTGCTAGGGGCGTTGTTAGGGACGAATACTTGGGACTGGATTCCCCTCCGAAAGAACGATTGGTCAAGAATCGAACGTGGGAATGTAAACGTCTAAAAATAATAGATAAAGAAAGCCTGAATTTCACACTTGTCACGAGAAAAGTCTGACGAGAATCGAATGTTTGTGAAATATTTGCGACGGCAACTTCCAGTCCTCGAGACGTCTCGAGATGCCTGTTGCACACAGCGAACGAATTTTTAACGCACACGGAATGACAAAGTATGCCGTCTGCAAAGTTTATGTCGTTTGAACACTGATACGATTTATTTTGTTTATATTTGGAACATCGCAGGCGTAAAAAAATTAATCAAGTTTATAAAAACGTATAGTATTTGCGTGCGATTCAGGACACTGTCATACGAATATCATCACACGCATGGAGATATTCTAGAAATACAGCGAGAAAAGCATATGTTTAGAACGTGATATCAAAGCAGCGTTGGGCAGCGTTGGGAAAGACAGCAAGAATAGCATATCCCCCCATCCGCTTCGCTGGTCGTACTTCCAACCAAGTGGATGCTCTGTTTACGACCTTGTAAAAGGACCAGCAGATGTCTCAGAGTATAGTGCCTGGAACGCGTCTCCGGCAGGTGTGTTTTCCGCGTAAAAAAAAAAGTGGTGCCTCGATTTCCTCTTGATGACGTCATACAAGTTTCATGCTGTCGCCTGCCGCGTTCCTGGTGGTGTCAGAGCTGAGGTGCTGTATGCGGCAGACGCCTATTCCACTGCAGGTCGCTCTCCAGGTTGACAGTACACTGAAGCTTAGTCAGCCAGCAGTGGGGACGCTGTGACAACAGCGACACTCGCGTTTGCTTCAACAGTATTAGATCAGGTCAGTTACGAAACTGCTCAAAGACGCTGCTCGCCCGAGCAGTACTCCCCAGCCCGAACAGTAGCCCCCCCTCCCTCTGCCCTCACGACTCGCCTCATGTCGGTCGACGCTCCGGACCGCTTCTATGGTAACTACGTACAGTGTATTCTGTGAAATACGTACGTTTTGAAGCGTAGTGTCTAGGTGGCGTTCCACCGTACTCTATAGAACACACGGTTTTGGAACGAAAATCAAGATGGCACTTCAAACGACGGGAAGCGGACAGAAGCGAGTGAGGGGAAGGGGGGAGGCTCCCCCTCCGCGTAAGTTCCTCAACTGAGGTAATCTAGAAACGTTGGTTTGCTTGTGCTTTTTTGATGGAACCAGCGTTGCCTGGTAGTGGAGCTCTCATACAGTCAAATGGCTGCCACGAATAACCAAAATGTAGCAAAAGCCTTAAACAAAATCGAAAAAAATAACCTAAAACAACAACAACTTTTAGACTTTGTATTCGTAATTCCTGTCGCCCATGGCCTCCCATGGCAATGTGCTTATTGCACTTCCACCACCTACAAGATGCGGTAATTTTTTCAAACGAAAATCGTTAATGTAATCATAATCCCAGGATTAAAATTTGTGACGGATTTGCCGTTCGGGCCCAAAAGTTGCAGCGCTTTTGCGACTCCCCAGATCAGTCTTCCAGTGAAATGTTCAAGCACTGTATTCAACATTGGCGGCGCTAAGCTGACACACCAATGGTAATCAATCAAGAAAATAAATGTTAAAAATTCCACGCTATTCGGTTCACACACATTTATTAGTACCTATTTTTCTCAAATCTTTAAAGACATTTTTCTGCGAACCATGAAAGAAATTTGAATTATTATAGCACAAACAGTTAATATCAAATGGGCCACGCAGAACAGTTAGAACACTAGGCGCATGGAACGCTGAACGCAACAGAACAGCGTCTGAACCAGACTTGTGCCTATCTCAGATACTCTACTCAAGATACTCTATTTCAAATACTTTTGGAAGTATATTGGTATCTTGCAAATACCTTTGATCGAGAGTATTTAATAGTCCATTTTATTTACGATTTCGAGTATCTTGTACTCATTATCTTAATTACATTTTTGACATTCCGCCATTTTCCGAGTTTTTCGGGGTGAAGTGACGTGGGCGTGGCACGAGCAAACGTGAACATTCTTTCGAGCCACCAAATCCACTTAGCTACGGTGACTTTGATTGAGCTCGTGAAAACATAGCTTTTTTGCCGATTGTAACCCATATTTCAGCCCAAAGTTCGTACAATGAAGGTTCTCCCCTCGCCTTCCAAAAGGCGCCTTTTGTTTCCATAGAGTTTTCCCCCCAAAAAATCGAAAATAACAGGTGTTGTTTTACTCAAGTAAAGATGAGCTGCTCTAAATCGGGACGCGCGAGAGCACGTAAAACAATAACTGTTCGTTGGTCGTCGCGACCAAGTAACTGAGTGACGCTGTCGGCCATGTTGATTCGAACGTACATAATGTCGCAAGATTTCATCGTAACCTGCGCAAAACTTCCTATAATTTTGTTTCGTGAATACGAATCTTCTTACGTTTTGTCGTACGCACATTTTTGGCGTAAGATCGTTTCGTTAATCTGGATTCAGTTGTTTTCGTGTGTCTATATGAGGACGGAATGTCTTACTCCTTTTTGTGACTGTAGCGCGGTATTCTTCAAGCTTGCGTGACTTCCACATACGACCATGAGTTGTGAATTTTATGCCCCGAGTACTGCCACTCTCGCATTGTTCAAGATTTTTTATACTTTCGACCTCCACCCTCTTTGATACATTTAAGAAACAAAATCAGACCTAATCAAAAAATATATATATTTTGAAATCGGAGTCGTGTTGTTATGTTGCAGATCGTATCTCTTGGTATAAATTCCTATAAATAATTATTCTGCGGTAAATTAAAATACCGGTGTCACAGAAGAATAGCCTCAATGTAACAACGCCGCAGTCAACAGACTCAACACCTAATGGAAGCAATAAAATGGGTAATCGACTTTCTCTCTGGCCGCAATCAAACACCACAAAAGCACCGCGCAGTGATTCTCTAAGAAATTATCAGGAGTTTTACTTATGTAGCACATAATTTTTTTCTCTATTTGGAACCAACGTATATGTTATCTTTTAGTTCGCCAAGTGATTGAAAAATAACAAGACGCACCCGTTCTCTCGGTACACCTGTACAGTTCTCACCTCGTTGCCGTGCATGTTGGCCACGTATTTGACGTTGGGCTTGAGCAGCGTCTCTTCGTTCGGATCTCTGCTAATGAGGAGAACCCACAGGTCCCGGTCTGGAGAGATTTAACCGAGTGAGCAAAGGCAGAAACTATTTAAGTGAATGGTGCAATCAGGATTCGGAAGATAACTTCAAATTGTTTTACATAATCTTATAAAAAATATTTGTTATAATGTGTACGCAAAAACACTAAGCCTAAAAAATGGTACAATGTCATAGGTATAAAATTATGTACAAAACAGAAGAAGAAACAAAAAATAGACACTCAAAGCTAAAATTATGCACAAATTAGTGACTTTCTTGCTCGTTTAAAATTGGCAATTTCACAAAACAGTATCGATTACAGATTGATCTAGCTCGTTATAATCGAATTGCATTTTTGTAAGTTGGTATGTATGGTTCAAACCCCACAGACAAAAAGGGCTTTCAGAGCCTTTGGTCCCGGAAGAAACCACGAAAGCAAAGAGTGCCTAAAGGCGATGGTGAATGAACAGCTGCGTTGACAACCTTATGCGAAGACAAGAAATCATTAAAACAACTTTTATTAAGCAGTGCCTTTCGAGATGAGACTTTGTGGTTTAACATTCAGACACTCAAAAAAACAATCTAGGTCAGGTCGAAAACGGTACTGCAGCAAGAAGCAAGCTGCCCTGTTGTAGAACAGTAAAGATCTAAAACTGAGAAATCATTTCTACTAAACCGAGTCGAGCAGAAAATATTCAGTTGCGGAGGGCACCTTTATGCTGGAAGATAGTCAAAACAAACTGCCTATACTCCGCGACAACTTTTCTTGGCAATCTAGTGGAAGGTACAGGCCCGCGTCCCCTCTCCCATTTTGAGTGTGCGCGGGCTCTCCTCCTCTCCCCGGAAATGGGGGAGGAGGAGAGCCTGCGTACACTCAAAATAGGAGAGGGGACGCGGGCCTGTACCTTCCACTGCATTGCCAAGAAAAGTTGTCGCGGAGTATAGTCAAATAGTCAGAACGAATTGTTTGAGTCAAAACCACCTACAGTCGGCGACAGCTGAAAGGAGGAAAGCAACACAATTCTAGCGCGTATTTTCTTCTCTAAATGTCAAGCACGCTCTGTCAAAAGAAAAAAAGCACCGATTTCTTTTTCATAAAGACACCGAAACATTATTTAAAACAAATGAAGTGATTATCACATTGCACCCAGTGCATTGTTCTCGAATATCGTTACGTCAAAGTAACGCGTTGACGCCACCAAGTGACGAAGCTCACAACCACGCCGGCCTCGTCGTAGCCTTGCCTCTGCAGTTAAACATGACGTCACGAACGCTCTGGAGGCACCGGACCTCCCAAGACGCATCGCGCTCTCCGACGGCTGCTCTTCGAGCGCTTGCTGGAATCGGCCGTTTGGAACAAAAAACACATAGCCATCCGTTTATTATAGGAACGTGCGATTGTCATTAGCGGATTTGTTGTTCGTGTTTAATGTATTTTTAAACGTAAGAAGTGCATTTCAGTTTTCATTTGATTGTCTTAAGAAAGGCCTTACGTGGCGGATCTCAATAGTCTTATAGTCGATACCCAGCCATTGGGAGCGCAACATTAGCCGATAAAGCCGCCAAAAACAATTCACAAAGCAAGAAGCGTAAACGTATCTTTAGTGCGGAATTTTATAATTCACGGGCTGAGGGTAGAGACTACGTGAGCGCTCGGCTGCCACTCGCATTTCAGTCAGTCAGAACACGAGACCCTGTCGAACGCTGTCATCGCCGTTGGCCGGCGTAAATGGTAGTCGAAATTATGAGACACCCAATTACGCTCTCGTCGGAAGTGCGGTATCGGAGGCAGACGAACGATTGCACCGCAATGTATTGGCCCCCCAAAAAGTGTTCTGCCTGCTTTCCTAAGGTACATAGTATAATGGGGCAATTATTGCGTGGAAGATTAACGCGTGACTTACTTTGGACGGACTTTCCGATGCTGTACAGCCTGGTGAGGTTCGGGTAGTTGGCGCTCATGTTGCGCAGGAAAGCGGTCATCTCCTCGTGGTTGAAGTACACCTCTCGCTTCTCGTCTCCCGCGCTCTGCCCCCGCACGTGCTTCACGGTGCTCAGGCACAGGAGGACGAGCACCAACACCGACGCGCACCAGTTGAAGCGAGGCATGCTGACGGAACCTGCGAAAGCGAGGTATTCCGGACTCAGGCAGGCAAATGACTATATCATGTTAGTATTTTGAGCCTGAGGGCTCTATTTTTCGCTATAAACGGCCCACTCTGGTAACCACTTGGAGAGCAGCCAGTGGAGGCCACGTCACATCCGGCGTATTCGTGACTTTATTTTTCTCGGAATGTTCAAAGCTGCGGCGAGGCTGACGTTGTCAGGATACTCAGCCGCTCCAGCCACCGAAGCAGTCGAAGCACGCCAGGGATACGGCCACCCGAACTAACCGCAAAGCCGCTTTTGTGTGAATTTTGAGTGACGGGTTAATCTTCTATAATTTTGTAGAGGGAGAATAGCGACGTCTCGGAAACACAAAAAGAGCTCCTTTGAGTGGGGAGTGACTCCCTCCCTTCTTCTCTTGCGCTGGCCGTAGAGCTGTCGGGATGACGTCAGGTTGCGAGATGACGTCAGGTATGTTAGTGGATTCGGGAATACAATTCTGCGCGTCACGTTCACACACTCTCGTTGGTGAATCCCGAGGGGATAATTCTTCGTTTGATGAGTTAATTGCGTTATGGGATTCGGCGGTGCAGCTCTTCACGTCCCGTTCACACACTCTCGCCAAAGGAGATTCATCGTTGTCCGTAGCCTGCCTGTTTTCCTTTTACCTCACTGAGCATTCTCCGTTTTCTATCTTCAAACTGTTTTAAAGCAACGGTTTCATGCTGTGGTAACTCATGATCGCAGAGCAAATTACGTTCGGCTTGTTTGACCGTGGCTGAAGTTGTTCCGCAATGTCCAATACATATCCTCACCAACTCTAGAGACCCGTTAGTGAGAACCGTATTGGTACCTTTCCAGTTCGCTCTGAGACAGCGCCGTCATGGTAGGTTTTAAGTTAATTTCTAAGCCCTGTTATTAACGGCCAACGGAAGCCTTTAATGATGGGCGATTATCGTCGTCAAAGGGCTGACATCTCGAGACCTCGACTTCCCTCCGGCAGCAATGTTCAAATATCGTCATCAAAAGGGCTGACATCACGACACCTAGGCTTTCCTCAAGCAGCAAAGCTGGGCTCGGTGGCTCCAACAGCGTCTTCAAATTGTTGGGGAACCGGTGGCCGAGTGGGCAAAAGCGTCTCAGCTCGGAGCGTGGAGTGGAAGCTTGCGCTGGAAACCTCCTGGGCTCGATCCCCACCGCCCCCGCCCGTTTCGATCTGGATGAGTTTCGTACCGGCACGCGTCTCTACTGCGTGATGCACGTAAACAACCCCAGGTTAGCAGTTGTACTGCACTGCTTAAAATTCTCATCTACAGCTATGCGACCGGTCACCCGTTGAGGCGTACCAACATCAAGGCTGTATAAACATACGAAGCAAGCCAATTCTTTCCAAATTGTTCTCTCTGACTTCTTGATGCTGTAAATACATTATTAAACAGTGTACATACATATCGGGAAACCCCTGCTCCTTCGAGTTTCCTGTTCCCGTCGCGCCCGGAGATGGTCCGACAGTCAGCTTTGCTACCGGGACGACGACCCACTCGTTACAGCCCTAACGGGTGATGCGCGCGTCAAGGTAATTTTTAAGGTAAGCGGTATAAAAATTATGGTGGCGACGTCGAAGCTCCCTGGTGCTTTCTAGACGTGTGTTCTTTCTTTCGTTTCTGGCAGAAGTTCGCCCATTAAATCTTTAGTTCAGTTCGTTTATTTATTCCTCATCGTCTGCCATTCATAACAATAAGCAACGAATTATAATAGAGTGCTAAAAACTGCGTATTAAAATATATAAATTTTATTCTCATTAATCCAAACCCCCAATAAACGCCACAATAAAAAAATAACCTTTTAGCCACGATAGTCTTTATAAAAAGGTGTAGTTTTGTTTTTCTTTTAGCATGTGAAAAAGATCTGACATTGTTATCGATATAGACATAAACACCGGATGTATATTTCATTTCATTTCATTTCATTTATTAGCCGTTTTGAAATGGGGTGGCAGGAACAAAAGGTACTTAATAGTACGTGACCAAGGTCCCGTTTGAGCAACGTGTGGTGCATAGGACAATAAGGTTCTATGCACCACACGTTGCTCAAAAACACACACTTCTGTTGTCTGACTCGAATTTTGTTTTGGGGGTTTTGCTGTAAGAACAGCGCTTCTTAATTTATACGTTTTGCGAACATAATCTAAACTCCTCACCCGTGGCGATGTTTTGCTTAAATTGGATTGATTATGTTATTTTTTGTTTAATAATGGCAAATCAATTAATGATTTAAATGCCCAAAACCAATTAGAGGATCTTCAGTCCATTACATTTCATGACCATTATCTGAACGAAAGAAAAAACAGTCAAAACACAAAAATATCAGTGCTGATGAGTGAGTGAATAAACTTTATTGTAGCGACGTGTGATTAACCCTTGGGTGGAGCCCCTAGTCCGGGGCCCCATACGTGGTGGCGACCGCCTAGGCGCGGTCCGCGAGCGATTGCTGGCCAGTGGCCGTGTCATCGGTCAGCCGCTCCTCCCAGGAGGTGGAGGTGCGATTGGAATTGGGTAAGATGGCGGGAATAAGCTGGCACTGCCAGACCATGTGAATAAGGTTCGGACGGTCGCCGCAGTGCGGGCACTGAGGCGGGCTGAGAGACGGGTAGAGGTAAGAGTAGAAGATGGGGGTCGGGAAAGAGTTAGTTTGCAGTTGTCGCCACAGGACGGCGTCTGTGCGAGTAAGGGAAGGGTGAGGAGGAGGATAATGTTGCCGAGCGAGGCGTAGCTCCGCAAGGTGAGTGCTGTAGGAGTAAGGGACTGGTTGGATGCTTACAAAGTCTTCCCCAAGCGCCCGATGTGAGAGGTCTCGGGAGAGCGCATGAGCGCGCTCATTACTGGAGACGACTGCGTGTCCAGGCGCCCAGACCAGCCGGAAAGTGTGGGAGGTGGAGGACAGGAACGGGTCGAGTAAAGATGCAGTGGAAAGATGTAGGGTGTTATATAGGAAGTGCTGACAGACTGCCAGGCCGTCTGCGAATCAGTGAGAATGTTAATGGGAATGGTGGAGGAGAGACATGAGGTAGAAAGGATTGCCCTGGCGACCGCTGGTTCTTCCAGGATGGACACGGGGGTAAGACTACGCTCAGTAGCCGCGTGGACTGTTCTGAAATCAGAGTCCACGACGGCCGTAATACCCCCGCGCACACCCTGTGAGCTGGCGTCCGTGAAGAGGGCACGAACGGCATCGCAGCCCACCGGATACTCGCGTCCGAGGCAGCGCGAGCGATGGTCGCGCCGAACCGAGTGTTGGGTAGGGTTCATATAACGGGGGATGGGAGCCACAGTGAGTCTGACACGCGCAGCGGGGGAGAGACCCTCAGCTGCCAGGGAAGCGGGACAGGTTGGAAAACCAGGGGTGGCAAGGAGTGCCCGCCGCTGAGCCCTGGAGCGCAAACGCGTCAACTGGGCAGCCCGATGAGCTTTAATGAGCTCCTCCAGAGGCAAACCTCTGGAAACAGAAGCCTCTCAGGCAAACGGTGGCTGTGCGAACGGGGAGGCCGAGCGCAAGTTTCTGCGCCTTCCGCAGCAATACAGACATACGAGTGTGTTCGGTGTCGGTGAGATTGTGGTAAGGAAGGTGGTAGGTAAAGCGAGTGTGCATCAAGGCCTGGACAAGGCGTAGGGCGTCCGCCTCTTTAGGGCCATGTCGACGATTTGAGACGCGGCAAACCATGTGCATCATTTGGTTGCACTGGTCGGTGAGTTGATGGAGGTTTTGAGTTGCTTTAGCGTAGGGTTATAACACAAAGCCAAGCACCCGTATGGCCAATTTACGCGGGATGGGTTTGTCGTCTAATGTGATGGTAATGGGGAGGTTGGTTTGTCCGCGAACGTGTTTGGTCAGACTAGTAATTCTGACTTCGTGGGGGAACAGGTGAGGCCTCCACGCCGGGCTAGTGCTCGATGGTATCAGCAGCTTCTTGTAACTGAGTCTCTATGTGTCCGAGGGAGCGTCTCGTTACCCAGACAGTAATGCCATCTGCGTAAATTGCATATCTGACATTCGATATCTGATCCAGAAGGGGAGGAAGACCTCCCATGGCAAGGTTAAACAGGAGTCGAGAAAGTACAGAGCCTTGCGGTGTGCCACGGTTTGCCACTGGCGCGGAAGGAGAGCGAAGGTGACCATGGACGAGGCTGGCAGGTCGGTCACAGAGGAAATCGCGTACGTAATTGTACACTTTCACTCCGCAGCCAGTGGCTGCCAACGGTTCAAGGACCAGGTCGTGTGAGAGGTTGTCAAAAGCCCGTTTAAGGTCTGCGGCAAGTACGGCGCGATATTGGGCAGTGCTCGGCGAGTCTAAAACATCATGTTGGAGACGAAGCAGTGCGTCCGGGGTAGAAATGCCACTAAGGTAGCCATAAAGGGTGTCAGGAAGAGCGGCCGCAAGGAATTTGTGGAGGCGAAGCTGTAAAACCTTCTCAAGCAGTTTACCCAGACACGAGGTAAGTGAAATCGGGCGCAAGTTCTCCAAGGAGAGGGGTTTGCCAGGCTCGGGTATCAGAACCACTGTTGCTTCCTTCCACTGCTTGGGAAGGGTACCCGACTCCCACACCTCGTTTAAGTAGGTTGTAAGCTGCGTAGTTTGCGAATCAGAGAGGTTGTAGAGAAGGGAGTAGCGGATCTGGTGAGGACCAGGGGATGTGTTGCGGCGTATGTCGGTGAGTGCAGCGCGAATCTTAATGGCTGCGATCAGCGCGTTAAGATAAGAGAGCGTGTTGGGGGTACCCACGAAGTCCACGTAACGTGGAGCGTCAGGAGGGGGAAGGTAACGTTGTAGCTGTGTGAGGCATTGGCTGTCTGTTAGGTTAGTGGCGCGGAGAAGTTTATGAATGCCCTTGGCCCTGTCCGATTTGGCTTGACCAGGCTGTATGATATCAGGGAGTAGGGACCATGTTCGTGCGGTACCGAGAGTGTCATTGAGCTTGTCACATAGCGCGTGCCAGTTTTCACCAGTAAGGTTGGC